GTACTGTGTATATATTTATAGATGCATGTGTATATGTATATACATGCACATATATAGTTACATAACTGTAGCCATTTAAATAGGATGTATGGCAGAAAGAAAGACTACCTCTTATGGGGCTAGGTAAACAGACTGTGTACAATGTCTGTGCTCCCAGGGGCCCGTTTACTGAGACATGAGCAGTCACATCACACCTCACCAATTTTCTTCTTTCTTCCTTCATTCCCCACCAGTTATTTTTGTGTGACCCTTCCTGTTCTCACAGCTTCGGTCATGACTCCTGTGCTAAGTTAATTCACAGACATTTTCCACGGATCTCCTGCATGCCTAGCACCAGACCTGGCGTGGTGGGGGAATAGGGAGGAGCAAGTTATTATTTCTGCTTTTAAGGGTGATGTTTAAACTAGTTAACAACTGCACTGACCAATCAGAATGGACACGGACATAGGCTAGATCAGGGTCCTTGGTGGCCCTATGCTGTGGTGGGCATTGACCTCTTAGCCGCTGGATTATGAAGAGGCCTAGGGTACCAAGGAATGGCCAGGGCGACAAGGCAGGTGCTCAGAGTTGCAATTACTTACGTATTGGTAAAGACATATTTAAGTAACCAGTACTGGTGTACTGGCACAGACTCGCTAAATGTTACTCCCTTCTGTTCTCAGACACAAGGCCCCAAAGTAAAGATGGGAGGCATTCTGGCCTCTGAAAGAAGGCATGCTTATGGAGTGCCCCTGTAGCTACTGGCCATTGTCCTGAGTCCCACTCTCTGCCCCGTGCTTGGATTCTAGTGGCTGCTTCTCTCTCAGACACTCACAGGCTGCAGCAGTAGTCAGTGAGGAGGCAGTGAGTCCTCCCTGTGCATTTAAGTTGGCCAGATGTGTGGAGGTGGCGCTGAGATCCCCTGTTGGTGGGAGCTGGACAGACAGAAATCATCCAGAGAGACCAGGCAACACCTAATCCTTGCAGGTCTAGGAGAACTAGCCAGCCTGGCAGATGCCAGACATGTGGAGTCCCATGGCCTCCCCATCTAGAATTCCCATGGTCTCCCTCTCTACTCAGTTAAAAGTTTGGTTAGGGGCATTTAGATGGATATCTAAGGTCCTTCATAGAGTTCCTGATTGGTTTAAGAATATCTTAACCTTTGGTCCTGGACTTGAGGCCAAATATGGTCCCAAGGAGGGTCTGTGGTTAGCAGTCTCCACTGCTCCCTGCCCATCTCAGACCAGGCTGGACATCACCCCGGGTGTAGGCTGGGATCTAGAGAAGAGACATCTAACTCTTGGCATAGCCTATATACCAGGGACTGAACCAGGGGTTCTGGAAGTGTCCTCTGGTGATTTTTATGGGACAGTGTTTGGGCTAGATTTTTTTGCTGGGTCAGGGACAGGCAAAGGGAGGAGGTATAAGCCAGAAGCATCTAAGAAATACCTCCAGCCCCAGCCTGGCCTGGCCTCCCCGTTTCTCCATTCTGTTAAGTGGCAACTTGGGGGGAAAAGAATGAAGGTCAGTGAGGTTGTGCCCACCCAGGAGAGGGAGCGACTGAGGTTCAAGGGGCAGCCCTTCTGTGGGGCCTGCTGCTCTGCCCTAGGCCCCTCCATGACGGCCCCCAGACAGGGCCTCGGCTGGGCGGGCCGCCACCGCCTGTTTAGTGCCGCTGTTTTTATAAGCTAATGAGGGCAGAGTGTGAGCCATGGGCGATGATGCTGGGATATTAACTGTGACAGGAAGCTTGATCATAATTATCTTAACGAGGATAGGGTTAATTACGGTGGAAACTTAAAAGTTCTCTCTGTTTGAATCCGTTGGAGCCGAATGCGTTGTGATGTTTTGTCATTTTGATGTGACTTTGGAAAAGGCACTGGAGCTCTCCTGGCAGCTGCCACAGCTCCTGGGGGAGCCCAGGCAGGGCCCTGGGACTGAGGAAGGAGGTAAGAAGATGGTACCTGTGGGCGAGATCCTGGCTGTGCTCCTGGTCGAGGGGGAGGCAGGCAACCTGCAGGGAGTTCCCAAGTTGCTGATTAGGCTTCCAGAGCAAACCACTTGCCCTGATCGGCCGGATACGCCATCTCGCTGTTGACCCTTGGTGGCTCTGTACCAGGCTAGTATGATCCCTCTCTAGCTGATGCCTGGGCTGTGTCTGAAACCTAGCCTTCCCCTCCAGCCCACACCTCTCACAGTGAAGCCACTGCCCACAAGCTGGAGTGACTGTCACCCTCTCCACTAGAACTCTTGTTTTGGGATGCTTGTTGCCGTCAACCCACAACGTTGTGGCAGGGAAATTGCAATCCCGTCACCTTTTTCCTGTAGTCATTGTCACTGTCCTATTCCACAGCATAGATCTCCGTGGTTCTTTAAAGCATTTTTGGTTTTGCCTATCATTTTATTTAACAGTGCATAACTGTCTGCCCCCTTCCTCCTGTCCCCAAGCCCTCAGCTCTAAATTTAGCTGATTAAATCACCAAGTGCACGCAACACCGATGACATGAAAACAGGGATTTACTAATTAGCAAGCCCCCGCCCCATGTGACATGGTTTCCTTCTTTCACTGAGCAGCTAATAACATCACATGGCAAAAAGAATCTCAAAACCAGACAGGTGGCAGGGGATTTGAGACCGATCTTCCCACCTCCTCTGGGAGGTCTCCCTCCAGTGTGGAGCTTGGCCCCAGAGCCCACCCTGCAGGGAGAAAACCATGGCCTCGGTGCGTCTTCAGCATTCCTGGGCTCTGCCTCTCTTCTTGCTGTGCCGGTTTGTTTCACAACTCCCCTGAAGCGCCCTGGAAGCCTGCTTTCTTCTGCTTGCCACTTGCTGTGTCTCCTCCTAAGAGTATAATATTTGCATCACCTAACTCTGGAGCAGTGGGTATTTGGATGCTGCCTCTGATTCATGCCTGTGCACTAAGGATGTATTAGCCATCCTTAAGATGCCCTCACTGGCAGTGGCCTCACCTCCTCTTGTGCTCACCAGGGCCCTGGTCCTGAGATCAGTGCTCGTCAAGCCCTGCCGATGGAGGAAGGTTCCCCGCACAAGCCCACCGCACACCTCTGTGGGTTTGATCTGTGCGCCCCTGCATTCCCACAATCCCCCAAGGTCAGGGCTTCGGGAGAATGAGTGAATAAAAAGGAGGAAGGAAAAAGGAAAACCAGGATTGGCTAGTAACTCATTAGTCCTCTTTCACTTACTCTCTATTAAATCCCATGAGCTGGATGACACACAGAATAAGAGGGGTCAGATTGATACGCCCGAGTTCACACTGTGGGAGACAGAGGTAAAGTTCCGAATCTTCCTGCCTGGGTGTATGTAAGTTGTGCTTTGCCTCTTAGAACCTGGAGGAAAAGAGAGAGGAGGAGAAGGAAATAAAACCTGATGACCCCTGAACCTTTAATCCAAACATATGTGGCATTGTCCCCCTATGATGGGGCAGGCAGCCTTGGTTGTTGGAGTAAGCACATTCCGGGCACCGAGCCCTGGGTGGGACCACCCTGAGGTCTGGCAGACATGGAGCATGCAGACGGAGCTCTGGCCCAGCAGAATCTAGAGATTTAATTACTTACAATGCATTTTACACCTCGCAAGTATTGACTATATTTTGGAGTCCTCTTGGCAGAGATCCCACGAGGGAGCTGTGGGTGCCTTGGGAGAGGGCTGGTGCCAGAGTTGGCACTCACAGCAGATGTGCAGACATTGCACACACAGCACACGAGGCTGCAACGTGAGTGCTCTCAGTAAGTGAATAAATAGTGTGGACGACATCTCCCTGATTCGTCACATTTTATGGAATAGCCAGGGATCCCGTGCGAGCGCTCCCTCAGGTCCACGCCGTAGCTCAGCTGTCAGCCTGTGCAAGCTCAGCACATCTCCTGGGTCTGGCAGGTGAACGAGCAGGGAGTTTGTGTCTCTGTGCAAGTCCTTCGGCTGGGCAGCTCTCTTTAATTCACGTCTGCACGCACCCGGGCAAGCAATTGTGCACAACTGCCCACACCGCCTCTACGCCTAACACTCACGACAGCCTATAAAATTAAGAGTTAACTTTCAGCTGCGTGTATCAGGAAGGCTATTTCCCCCTTTTCTGATATGTTTTTTTTTTTTCCTGAGCTGGGCCCTTAATTCTTTCAGGTGCTCATTTACTGACTCAGCATCGACATGGCTGCACTCTCCCTGCTCTCAAAAAATTAAGTGAGAAATCCACTTCCCATACATTCGAAAATTAAAACAGTAACTTCAGGCCAGGATCTTTGGAGCAGAAATACTTCCCCCACCCCACCCCATACACACATCACCAACAAAAATAAATAAGAAATCATGAAAGAAAAAGAAAAGCCCTCTCCGACTAGAATGATTATGCAATTCTGCAGATGCTTTGCCTTTCGGGCAGCCACAGGGACACTGGGAAGAAGCAAATTAAGTGATTAGTAAAGAAAAAAAGCAGAAGGGGGGAGAAAAAGTTAAAGGCTGTGAGGGGAGAGAGAGAGAGCCTTCCTTGCCTTTCCCTTGCCACTGTACAGAGGAGAACTGCTAAGAAATGATACTTGAAGTTATATTTATTATTGTAAGAGGGTATGATATTTCTGGGCAGGAATGATGGATGACAACTTAAATTTGTGTCCAGGGAATGAAGGTGAACTGTGACAGAGTTATTTATCTTGGGAATGGAGGTTAGGGTCAGCCGAGGCTGGGTGCCTGAAGGCACAAGACATTGACAAATTTATCCTGCAGGCCGTATCTGAAGCCCTTTGTTTTGGATCCTGGCTACTCACTAAGTGACCCTCATCCTTCATGTTGGCAATGCGTGAAGGATTCGGTGAGTGCCAGCGGCCTCTCCTCCCCCGCCGCCCCCACCCCGGCTCCTGCTACTAATTCTTGTCATTCACTTTGCTGACAGGCACCAAGCCCAAACTATTCCCAGTCCTGAAAGGGAAGGTTAAAATATTTATTTCGGCTCATAATGGCCTCCCTGATTTAGTGCAGGATCATTTTTCCTGTTGCCTTTGTCATTTCAGGTCACTGGAAGGACTGAGCGCATTCAGGAGCCTGGAGGAACTCATCTTGGACAACAACCTGCTGGGGGACGACCTCGTGTTGCCACGGTTACCCAGACTCCATACCTTAACCCTCAACAAGAACCAAATATCCTTTCCTCAGCCTGCTGCCCCCACTCCCCGCCCAGCCCCACAGTGGTCCCCTCCTACCCCACCCCACCCCGCCCCACCCCAACAAATAGCTGCAAAATGTCAAATGAGTTTTATGTGTCAGCTAAATTAAAGTGTGTGAAATACAGTCCGTGGGCAGACAAAGCGTTCTGTCTTCTGGCACTTGGGACACTTCAGAGTAATTTATTATAGGTCATTCATAAATGAAATGCACCATTATATCTTCCTGTTGCTCCATTTTAGTGTAGAGATCTAAGTTATGGCTGTGAAGAAATCTTTTTAATAGATAAAAATAGAGAAAGAAAATAATGTCGCTGCTGCCAAGGCGGCGGAGCGGGTTCCGTTCGCTTGGGCTTGTGTGGGAGGGCGACCTCTGGTGGGAAGTCGAGGGTAGTGCCGCTAAGCAGAGTGTTTTCTCCTAGGGTTCTGGAAGGCTCGGGTGGTGGCTTGGGGAACATTTCTGGTGGAGGAAAGGAAGGGGAAAGTGCTAAGGGGGAAAAGAGATGTGAAGTCAGGGCCTGGCTCTGCCCTCCTGCCCTCCTGGATGGATACATGCTGGACTGCGGAGGCAAGAGGCCGGAAGAGGCGATGTAGTACATGGCCTCCCCTACATCCTGCCTCTCTGATACTTACAGGGATTAACTGCTCTGGATTCTGCAGTGGAAATGGACATTATATAATAGTATATGGCCTCCCCTACATAGGTGAGGACTACCCTGCCTCTGTGATGAGATGTACAAGGGCTCTAACTGCTGGGAAGCTTTCCTGTAACATAAGGCCAAAGCTCTTCCATTTACTAGCGTTATGGATGACCCTGTGCTATTATAGAATGTCAGCTCCATGAGGCAGGGAATTTTCTCTGTTTTGTTAACTCCTCTGTCCTTCACGTGGAGAATAATGCCCAGCATAAAGTAGACATTCAGTAAATATTTGTGGTATAAATGAATGAGTCACTATCATTAAGCTGTTCTTTCTTGAACACTCCTAGGGATCAGGCACTGTGTTGGGTACTTCCCATGTATTAATCTTGTTTTTAATTCTTACCAAACCCTGTGAGAAGGATGTGGCTTTTCCAGTTATCCAGATGTGGAAAGAGGTGAGAGGTATAGGCCCTCAGCCAGCTAACAAGGTGCCAGGTCTCCATGATTCAGTCTCAACTGTGGTTATATCCAAAGTTCTTTCCATTCCACTGTGTTGCTTCAGACTCAATGTCCAAGGGCCTTGTTTTATTGATGGAGCATTTGAGACCTGGAGTAGTTGAATCACTTGTTCACATTTGTACAGTAAGTTAGAAAAGGGAAGAGGACATTTTCCTGTGGAGTAGAAAATAAAAAGCAGATATATGTGTTAAGTTTAACACATGCATAAGTCAGTGTTAAAGAATGTTTTGCAAAAGCATTCGTTAGCCATTGTTTATACTTCAAGCCATAAGTTAATGTGTTCCTTATTCTATAAAATGTTATCTCCGTCAGCTCTTGCTGCTGTAACAGAATACCATCGATGAGGTGATTTAAACAACATTGATTTCTAAGAGTATGGAGGATGCACGTCTGAGATCGGGATGATGGCATGGTTGAGTTCTTGGTCATGATACCGTGTTCTGACATGGCACAGATAGTGAGAGTTTGCACACAAGCACTCTCATGTCTCTAATGAGGACAGTCATCCCACCACTATGAGGGATCTACCCTCATGGCCTGAATACCTTGCAAAGGCCCTGTCTCCACATACCATCACATTGGGGGTTAGGATTTCACATCTCCATTGTCAATATGCTTCTTGTGGTCATTATTCATTGGCACGTTACTAGAAGTAGAAGGCAAAGTCTATAAGTAAATTCACAGTTTTGTCACAATGAGATTTTGATGGATTTTCCTCTTTTCTATCCTTTGGTCAACCAAACTTCCCAGTCTCATTGTTTGAATAATTATTACAGTCATTTTGTCTCATGGCTTCCATGGCTGTCTTAGGCAATCAGTGGCACAATAGTCTGAGATCAGTCAAGGACCGAAGGATTGTTAGAATTTGGGTGATATGGTTGCTCATGTCTTGTGACCCTTGTCATTTTAGAATATTAGAGTCCATGGATCAGATTAATCATTTTTAGCTGTGTGGCTTTGGACAAGTCATCCTCTTTGAGCTTCTGTTTCTCATTTTTAAAGAAATAAATGGAGCCAGATGGTTTTATTCTCAGAATTGCTGTCAGCAGAAATCAGTGGACCTCTTGGTTCCAGAGTCCTGAGATATTGTTTTTGTCTTTGGTTGACTCCTTCCCCTATACTGCGCCTCAACTTCTTTGATCTGTGGTAGTAATGCTGGGAGGATAATGCTAACAGATTGAGAGGGGCTGATGCAGGAGACACCGTAGATGTAAGTCTGACCAATGATATCACTGTGCTGTTAAGGTACACTTTATTATCAGCAGATACAAAAGCCAATAGTTGGCTCTCTCTGGATATGCAGCCTGATTCCTTTCCTTCTTTCTCCTCTGATCTACTGGTGAGATTGGGAACATCACTCCCTCCCCATCTACATGACCCAGTAGACCCATTCTGTGACTACAGAATGAAAGGTAGATTAAAAACAGCCACTGACACCACACACTATCCTCCCAAACTAACACTTCTGTCTCCACCTTTTCAGCCTACTTAATTGTGAAAATATCCCAGGCTCTCCAACAATTTCTAGGTTCCTTATTGATGCCCAATGAAATGCCATGGATATGGGCTCTACCAGGTAGTTTTTGCTGTCTAATAACCCACCCTCAAACTTAGTGGCTTAAAACCACATACGTTTTATTTACAATTCCATGGGCCAGGTGTTTGGTCCGGGCTCAGCTGGATGGTTCTGCTGCTGCTTTTACCCTGGGTCACTCATGTAGCCGTAGTTATCTGGAGGTTCAACTAGGACTAGACAGTCAGAGATGGGCTTATTCATGTGTCTAGAGGTTGGTTCTAGATGTTTGCTAAGCTGCATGTCTCTAACAGGCTAGCATAAACCATTTCACATGGAAGGAGTGTTCTCAGAGCACAAGTCCAGTAGTATAAGTACTTTTAAAGTTATCCTTGTATCATGCGTGTTGGTGTTCCATGACCAAAGCAAGTGACATAACCAGCTGTAGAACATGTGAAAGGGGACTGCACAAGGTGTGGGTATAAAGAGGCATGGCTCATTCCTAGCCCATAGGGCTTGGCATTATATCTCCTTAAGATTTTACTTTATATTTATAATGAAGTCGTAGAAACTATTGATTTTCTAAAAAGGAATTAATACTTTATTATAAATTAAATCTTTAAACATAGTAGGAAGCATGCTCTGAAATGGGATTTTATCTCAAATTCTTCTATGAAGTTTAATTTTCATATTTTTGTTCCATGTGGAATGGTTATTCACCCCGCCTAATTTATCTGCCATGTAAATCTTGATTTTTCCACTTTGGTTTGACTCACAGTTAAATATGTCTGTGTTACTAGACCCTGGGAACTTGGGTCATTGGCTTCTTTTATCCTTTGGCAAGAGAAACTATCACATAGTCGTTAAGAACAACAGGCTCTGAAGCCAGACTTCCTGAGCTTATACCCCACATCTGCCACTTTACTGCATGACCTTGGGAAAGTTATTTAGCATCTCTGTGCTTTGGTTTCCTTTGAAAAATGGGTAAAATGATAGTAACGACCCCATAGGCTGTTTGGAGGGTTAGCCTAAGTGTCTCACAAATACTAAGTCCTAGTAACACAGACAATGCTATGCATGGATTAGTATTGTTGTTATTATCCTAGAGAATTGTATAAACTCCTCTGACCTGATTATAACCAAGGACAGAGTATAGATTTAGAATGTTTAACTTACATAATTTAATATTACCCTGATGTCACCATGTGAGTTGGGTGCTGTTGGTGAATACTTCTAATTTTTATGAAAAGACTGGGAGAGTATGAGCTCTTTGATGTCATATAGATGTTAGTGTTGGGACTTGGTCTAGAACCAGAGCCTCAGACCTTGAAACCAAATGAGAGATGGTCACTGCACAGGGAGGAACTAAGACGTAGGAGGTGTCAGCTGCCTGTGCCTGCTGCTACAAGACCCTGCTCCCAGCTGGGACTACAGACATTCCTCATGAAAGGGATTCCAGGGCCCAGGCCCAGCATCTGGCAAATTCCTTCTATATTCACCAATGGGCACCTCCATGCCCATCTGCATACCTCCTACTGGGCCTACCTTCTTTTTTGACCAGAGCTTTGTTCTAATGTCTTCAGCCCTCAACTTTGGCATCCCGTGCTGGTAGGTCTGCAAGATTGGTTATCTCAGATTACCTCTTCATCTCTTGGTTTGTAGCTATTTTGCCTTCTTCCTTTGGTTCACTTAGATTGGTCATGTAGCCATTGGCTATGGACTGAAACCCGCCCCCTCCCCCCGCTGCCTCTCACATCCTCTTTCCCTCTCTCTCACTCACCCAGGGGCACACACATACCATCTGTGCTCTTCCACCAGTAGGTCTCAGCCATAGCATGTCTGAATACTCAACCCCAAGTATGGGACCAACTGAAAGTTCAGGAAAATGTAGGTATTTGGACTTTACACAATCAAATGATTCTCCTGCACCTTCCCTTCCGGGCATTGGGAGAGGGAAATAAGCAGACTTCATCTGAAATCATACTTCCTTTTCTATCTTCCTGTTTGCTCTAGCACATGTCTTGGGGAGACCCTGAGTTTGAATCTAGTGCCAACAGAAAGGGAGAGCAGTGCTGCATGGTGCACAGCAGGGTTGTGGCAGGGAGACCCCTGCGCCAGCCAGAGGGTAGGACCCCAGCACGTCACTGGGGAAGTCTCCATAGCTTGTCAGGGGTCTCAGTTTCTTCATCAAATGGGAAATGCATGCTACAAACATTTTGATGGTACAATATATGGAAAATCACATTAACACCCAAAGACTTTATAATTTCTTAGTACATTTCACTGTTAGCCAAAATACCAGAA